GCATTTGGAGCCTTATAGCTTCTCTGTGTTGGGAAAGCCACCGGCGTCTTTTGATTGCTTCAGCTTATTTGTGAAAATCAAATAATTGTTGCAATATTAGCCCTATGTTATTACATCGACGTAAATGTGTGCTGCAGGTAATGGTCTTGTGAAATTGCGAAGGAAGCTAAGGCTGATCTCAGAAAATGCAGTAACCTTCTGTACCTTATCAACTTGTGAATTTTGGTGTTTATGATTTTATCGCAATCTAGTGGTAAATCGTTGTCAGAGACTGGTATAAATGATCCGATTTAAAGGTGCTTTTCACACTTGTGCAAAGGAAAAGGTTGAATAAAGAACTAGCACAGAAGATGCTCTTGACGAACATGTCCATTGCGAGGATCAAAACCTCTGCTAGGTTTTAATTGGGTCGAGTTGTTTGTTTGTTTATTCTTCTTCTTTGCAAATGAGGACTCCTTTTATCTCTAGGCTCCATTGATGCTTATAATATCATCTACTTTACTGGTATCTAGCCCATACCTCATGGTATTTGCAATATACCTTTTTTTGTTCATTTCGATGGCACAATTTGTTCGAGGGATATTATTTAGAACAAAAATTTTGCTTTACACCACTTATTTTAAGCATGACATCTCTAGTCATTCGTCCTTGATTATTAAATAATATTGCAGTGCAGGGACGTTGGCGTCATCGTCTAAGGAAAGCGTCTCGAAATCGCTACTGCAGAATCTTATCAGCCTGTTTTACTTCGACGATGCTGAAGCCGACGGTCAGAACCAGCAGCTTCATGAGTTGAGCTCAGCTTTGTCAGGGAGTCTGCGGAGTCTCCAGGAACTGGCGACTCTGGCGAGTAGCAGCTCTTCAGAGGTGTTGCGCAAGCGCTGTGGAGCTGTCTTCGCTCTACTTACCGAGACAGCCCGGGCCGCGGTGGTTGCCACACGGGACAACAAGCGCTCCTTCCCGTCCAACCGCTTACACTCTGCTCAGGTCCTTGGAATCCAAGTCGTTCTCTCCAATGCTCTCCGAATTGGTTGCCATTCGCCTGACTGTTGGCTCCATCTCCTCAACGCCTGCCAACTCGTTCGTGAATTAGAACACTCCTACTTCTCCTCTGTCCATGACTCTGAGGCCGCCGTCGCAAAAGCGTATGTTTCCGTACATCATTGATAGGTACCGTATTATCCTGGCATTTACTTTGATTTTTCGTCCCAGAACTGACGTTGACGGGGTTCGCAATCTTCCCGAGATCGTGAAAAGTTTCATCTCCACCAACTCAAACACTGGCGAGTGCTTAACAGTTGAGCAAACTGGTATTGTACTAAGCGCACTTGCGGCTCAGGTTGACCAGATTTTTGATACGGCTGCTGAGGTATTGTCACTTCCGGCGCTGATCGACTTTCTCTATTATCTACTACAAGCAAGCAGTGTAGAATTAGCTGACAGAAGTCATCCGAAATCTACTTCTATGGAGTGTAAGACGTCAATCAATCTGAAACACGCGGTCGATTCTGCAAAAGATGAGTTTTTGAAGGTAGCAAAGCTCGGAATAGCCAGGATAAATGGAAGTTCGACGTTGAATGAACGCTATACCTCTCGCAAACTTCAAAGTCCAGCCTTATTCCTCGATAGGTAAGTGCACTTCTCATCTCTTAGATGTAATGCTAGCATTTATTAATCGGTCTTTATTAAACTACTATGCCTCTAGATTGTCACAGCTACTTTTAAGAGCTATTCGTTCCCCGAGGCGTCCATTGTTCCACCTTTTGCGTGCATGGGCTCTGGTCTCTCAGCATCTAGTGGACGCTTGTTGCTTCTCCTCAGCTTATGGCTTTACTTCGTTTGAATCGGATGCAGAACGGCTGTTGGTCAGTCAGAGAGCTCTTGCCTGCCTTCACGAATGCACAGTTACCGCTGTCACTACACATCTGGAGTTGCCTTACTTCAGCTCTAACGAGATGTTCTGCAAGCCATTTGAAATCCTCCTTCGACTTGGTGAGTGGGCTTGGTAGTCCTTCTAGTACCAGAGGCGTTTACACTCGGGTTCTTGTAATTTCTGATTTTTGGGCTGCCACCAGACGGTGGTTTCTGTTTTGCTCGCTTAAAAGTGCTTTCCAATGTAATAAGGAAGGAAGTCTAATTCTTACCTTTGATTATAAAAGACGTAAATTACGGTGATACACCATTGTGTGGTATCAGAATATCTATATTTCACTCTGTTTACCATATCAGCATCAATGATGGCACCAACGATTGGGGGTGAGGGCATGGCTTCCCCGTCGAATGCAGGTTTTCAAAGTCACTCTGACACTACTTACGCAAAGGGATAAGTAGCGTCCTTCCAATCATTTGTTTCCTTCCATCTCTGGCAAAATATATGTTTTCCTCAAATAAACTTCTTAAAATGTTCTGTAGCAATTGAGTCGTTAATAAAAGGACAGTAGATTTTTTGGATGGTATGCAAAGATGATACCTCATTAACATCTATGCGTACTGTCATCGCTAGAGCCGAAATTGATGTGGCACAAGGTGGTTTAACTGCCAAGACCTTAAACATTAGTTGAAGAATAGTGGGCTTTAAAAGTAGGTCTGTTTGATCTCTAATTCGTCTAGCTCTTAATGCAGCCTATTTTGTGTAGGACGGTTTCATGGTGCAGCATCGGTGCCCTTGAAAACTTTCTAGCCATTAACATCCTGTCAGTTGTCCTCGAATTTTTCTTTAAACAGAGATGTGTGATGGTGAATTACAAGAAAGAGTCCTAAGTTGCATCAGTGAGGTTGTGGAAGGCTGCAACAGTGCGCTTCATTCGGGTTGGCGTCCAATATTCGCCGCCCTGCGTTCAGTCAAGGTCCCCTTTTTGACTGAGGAGAACCGGACCATGCACCCGCCCGAACCCTCCCCTTGTCCAAACGCTCACAAAACTGAAGATGCCATATCAACATGCCCTAAAGTCACCTTTGACGTGGATGTGATCACCGCCCAGGTCGTTCCTAACACACGACGCATTTCAACGGTTCTCGAAATTTTTGAAGTGGGTATTGGTTCGTTTTCTCCACAGATCGTTTATGATACTATTCAATACCAGAAAAATTGTTGCACATTGTGAAATTCTTTAGTGTTTGCACGTGTGTATGGTCCTCAAATCTCTCGATTGCGCTCCTTGTCGATGCATAGCAGTTAATTCCATTTATTTTCTCCCATTGCCCAAAACATCAATCGTTTCAATGTTTTGTAGGTTTTCTTGTTTACTGACGATATCCTCGTGTTTTGTAATACCGCCGTTGACTGCGTTCTGTGCCTTTTACGCTATCTATCTTCCGGAGAGCTGAACCACAACTATTTTGATAATAGGATTCGCTCAGCTCCTTTTGGCTCAACTGGCAATAAGTGTCCGAAGGAATGTGAAGGTAGCTGTATGTTTCCATACATGCTTAATGATGTGTAAATGTACTTATATATGTAAGTATCCTTTTCAGGATCAAAAGATAAGCAGACACAGACTGTTAGTAGAGTAGAGTGCGTTAAAGAAGCCTCGTGTTCGCTATGTGTGGCGACGCTTCCACTACTTTCACGTTGTTGTGAGGTTTTCGGCTATATTTGGAACTCCTATAAAGCATCCGCTTCTGGTATCTCAACGCCTTCCGTTGGCTATGTGCTTCGGTCGGCCAGGCGCCAGGCCTGCCTTGTAGCTGGAGGGCCTTTGGAGTTTAGCCTCCTTCCCACTGTTCGTGGGTTTACTTCACCCACCCTCCACGAAAGAGTAAAAAATCTTACCCCTTGGTTCTCTACTGGGCGCTTTCTCGAGCCTGCCTTCCATTCTGCAGACTCTGTAGGTCTCCTTTGTCATTTGGCATACTTAGATTATTGGGTAGACGCCGGAATATAACCACTTCCCATTTGTTCTTTTCTTTTGCGCTCAGTTTGATCCCGATCTCTCCACACTTCGTAGTCTGAATGATATTGACCATCCCTCTGGGGTGTTGCATCTCTGGTTCCTAACACTAGAAGGCATCATAATGGCGGTTTGGGACTGCAATCCACGTGTACACCGTGTGGTGTTTGAGGAATTTACAAGCCTTTTGGATGAATGCGTGGAAAGAATTAGCGGTAAAATTGACATCGTCGTATCTCGACTCACCGACGGCATTGAGAGGGAGGATATTGAAGTCCAAGGAGTGGCTATTGGCCCTTCATTTGTGGTGTTTGTCGTTAACCACGTTCTTTTGCCACGACTTCAAGTAAGTTTTCAATGGGTGATTTTTCATGTTTTATTATTTTCTTTGAAATTTTGTGTACTCTACTTCCACAATCTTACAACCACTGAATTAACCTTTGTGTTCACAGGAGACACAATTTGCTAAAATGCGGAGTGCAGTTTCATTTCACTGTGTCTTGATCCATTTCTTTCCTCACTTCAAGCTAGCTTTGTATACAACTAAGTGTGAGCATGCTAAAATCCTATCAATCCTTTTAGACTGCAATTGTGAATGATGCACTAACCGCTGGTGATGTAAATGGTGACTCTGAAATTGGGGGCACTCCTTTTCACAATGACGAACACTCGTCAGCAGGTACTTGCCAAAACGCTAATCTTGCCGATGAAACTGAATGTGACGAAGTCATCATCTCAAAACTAAGTTTTGTTATGGGTCAAACCACTCATCTGGTGTGTAATCTTGTAACTCGATTCCAACAAAGAGGTAATCAATCACTTCCTTAGTCCATTTCGTTCTTACACAAAATCGCCAGCTGCTTTCAATTGCCATTTTAGATCAGCAATCGTCGAATTCAGTGGTGGGAATAAATCTCATGCTACATCAGTGTCTGCGCGCATTAGTTGATTGCATTAGCGCTCGAAATGAGCGCCTCTCTCGTTTGGCAACCTCTTGTCTTAGGTGAGAAGTTTATAGGTAATAATTTTTCTTGTTTGTATGCCCAATTCTCAGGTGTTGTGCCTTTGAACACTGTGCTTCAGGCACTTGCTCATTTCAACTGCGAAGTGCTTGACTGTGCATCAGTGGGAGATTGCGATCGCTCACTTGGAGGAGGCGTTTCGCGCCTGCCTCCTGCCAATCCACATTCTCACCACCGTGTACGATGATCGAGCTAGTCGCTCGCTTCCCAGCGATGCTGGCCTCCAGTTGGCTAACCTCCGGGCAATAAGCTCTTCTAACAGATTGCGTCAATTGGCCCTTCGGGTCTTTCAAATGGCTGACCAATTAGATGAAGGCTATGATGTGGGAGAACTGAAACCCGGGGAAGGGCTTGATAGCCTCGAGAAACCTTGCTACTCTTTCGAATTCAGGATTTTTCCACTCTGTTCACACGAAGTTGACCGACCTTCCTTGGACATGTGAGCTGTCTCTGAGACAAATAATATTACTTTTGATCTTCATTTGTAGTCTGCGAGAGCGGAAATACTTTCAGGTGTAGAGATTTATATAGCATCATAAGCGGTCCCAGCTCTCATGGATGAAAATCTTTGACGTCATTGGTCATTCATTGCATAATCGTCTTTATAGGCAGTTTGGAACCGCTTATTCCTTGCTTTGGTTGTGGCATAGGCTCTTCTTAGGGTAATCAACTCTTGGATTCTGTGAGTCCCTTTGCACATTAGCATTACCATGTATGTTTGAGTTTTGTGCGTTCGTATTGCTGTTTAAACACAACCTGGTAGATTATAAGTGGAGTGCTAGTTAAAAGCCACGATGTCTATGCCATTGGTGCTTTTTTAAACGCTGCGAATTTTTTTAGCATAGTGGCATTTCAACGTACTTTTATTGTTTCACTGAATACTTCTACTTCGCTTTGATAGCATACCATTATCGGGCCTTATCTCAAGTCAGTTGAACACCATTTTACTTATTCACCTTATTGGTGAACTTCTACTCAGCTTTGGGATGGCTGGAGAGAAATCCGTCCCAAAATCAATTCAGGAACTCCTCTTCTTTGACTCCTCACTCATTGTGGGTACATTCGCTCGCAATATTGAGGCTTCCGAGACGTCGATAATGGGGCTTACGACACTAGGTTAGGAACCCGTTTGCTAGCACTTTTATACATTCTGTGCTTCAAGTGCTTATTTTTTTGTATTCAATGTAAGCAGAATTTTTCACGCGCCTGCCTCTTAGCTCTGGCTTGCGACTTTTGAATTGCCTTTCGGACACTTACGCGGCTTTCTTTGATTTTGACCAATGCGGGGAGTTGAAACAGCTTATTCAGAGATTACTTAAGCTGCAATCGCCTGCCAACTTTTATCAACACGTACGTGAACATTTGTGCCGATTTTTAAGCGTAGAAGACTTTGTGCTTTTTTAAAATATCCTTCCTTCTTAAAGTCGTGCCTAACTGTGATGGTACTGCAAATGGTTCTTCTCCAGACTGTCCAGAATGGTCTGGCGGCTAAATACTGTAGCCAGCTTTCTGAGTCTGTGAATTTGGCCTTCTGTAAGTTTGACGAAAACCTCTCAAAACTAAGAATTGGCAACTTCAGACGCCTTCCTCTGCAGCTTCAAGTGAACACTGGCAAAAGAGAGTACATTTCTCCACTTCCGTGGCTAAAACCATTTGTTCCTGCCTCAGACAGTGATCACAATGTGGAACAATTTGCTCTTCTTCTTACCGGGTTGTTCACGCATTTGACCCAATTCTACCTCTTTTTGATGCATAATGAGGATAATGAACACGATGCTACTAGTTCGCCAATTCAACGTTGCGATACAGTGTTTTCTGATCGGTCAAATTCTGACACTTTTATCAATGAGGTGCGCTCGATAGAACTGATTTGCAAAACCCTATGGGAATCTTTATGAAAACAGTTCGCGTTGTTTTTTTAGTACAAAAGGAGGCTGTCAGAAGCGAAGTCAAAGAGGAACTCACGTCTGAAGAAGCTTTTGAGCAGTTACCGGGGCTCCACAATAGATGTGTCTACAACAACATCTAATGTAGATGAGAAACTTGTGAGGAACTGTTCGAACGATGACCAGGACGCTCAGTTGGCCTCATTGGCAGCTTTGCTATCCACACTACCACAAGGTTTCCTCGCTTTGTCACCGGGCCCGGAACCGCACTCTACATTCGAATTTGAAGGCGTATTTACGTGTAACGCGGCACGGCTAATTGCTGTTGCGGAGCATGGGTCCCTCCGACGAACACTAGCTACCTGGTTCCTCCGACTTGTTCAGAACCAAAAAATACTTACTGAGTCATGACATTCCTTTTTTACATCAATCTCTTATTTTGAATGTTGTCCCTTCTACATCACCTTGTCTTCGAAAAATGCCTTGGATGTAATTAACCTTGGTGTCCTATCAAGATTTACTTATTTCAACATGTATTAGCATCGGATACAGTGTGAACGAACAACGATTTAAACCTCCATAGGTCAAAATGGTAGGTTTGCTTTGGAGGATAGTACAAGACTTGATGTAATAATCGTAAAGATGAACATAGCAAACGGCGTGAGCATGCGTCCAAGGGTAAGCAGCTAATTCTCGGAGCTTAATGTGACTAAGTTTCCAATATGATGACCGGTGTATCGAAATTTTGAAATCGAGTTGTCTAGCGGAGTCCCTCTGTGTAGAAGCACTGTCTCCATTCGTGGCACACTCAATTCGTCTACGATCGATGCGAGTTAATGAGGCTTTCGAGACTGAAAACATCCACATCGTTCTTTGGTTGGGCATCAACCAAATCAAAATCTAAAAATTTGCTTAAATAACCGCGAGATGTCTGGCCGTTACTTCGGTATCCGTTTTGCTCTTGCACACGTGGACTGGCCTTCTGACGGTGCCAAGGCCCTCCTTATACAGGATAGGAAGCCTCGGGGTGCCATACAGATGGCAACACAAAGCGAACTGGACATCTCTAACGACTTCTAGCGTCCAACGTTTGTCATACGTATCTACGGCACGGAGAAAGGGCATTTAAATCGGGTGATAGATCGTCTGGAGCGACATCGCCACGAACTATCCAGAACCATTTCGAGTATAGATGTAGGAGATGACACTACGGCAAACTTCTGCCCATACGGGACCGTGCTAGCTCTTGTCTTCATTGTTCAGCATCGGTTTTTGACCAGCGATCCAGAGCCTAGTTGTGTACACCATTGATAACCAACAGAAATTTTTCGCTACGAATCCTGCACTTCCGATCCAGGTGGAGCTGCGGAAGTGACCAAGTACGTTCCTCACTACCATGGTTTTTGTTGACCAGCACAGCTGTGTCATGGTTGTTTTATTGTGACACCGGATATGGCTCGGGTGATGTACTAAGGGGAGCGCCGAGAACGTCGCTCAGACGGGGATACGGACAGTACAATAATTTATTTGTATGACCACCAGATATCTGGCGGTTACACTAGCATTCTTTTTGCACTTTATTGCCGGAGCTGGCTTTTAGACCATGTTAAGCCTAGACTCATTTTTCTCTTTAGATTAAATTCGTACTGTCCGGATTAATGCCTTCTTCTGCTTAGCGGGAAGTCTTGTATCTACAACTGGAAAGTTCCTGAAGCTATACACAGCCTACCTAATATACGCCAAAATGCAAACTAACAGTTTCGTAGTATCTCGAATTAGTTTTTTACGTGCCATTAAAAACGGGTAGTGCTATGCTTTTCAGGCTAGAAATTGATAAATAGACTTACGTGGACAGAGAGAGGAGCTAACAAAAACACAAATGCTTACCCAAACAACAAAAACCGCTTTTTTGAAATATAGGGAACAAAGTCTTAGTTCTAAAAACAAAATACAGGTGCGTTAAACATAAAGTATTTGCCACTTAGCCATAATTATTTGTCATAGAGACATTCAAAAATGCCAGGTAGACTAATCATAGCAACACGAAATTATGAAACGTTTTTTAGTCAATCACAAAAAACAAGGCGTGTAGTTATACCCAACTCCCAATTCAAGAATTTCTTTGGCATAAATGTGCCTCATTCTAGTGCAATGCAATGGCCAATGAATATCCGAGTGCACATTTGAATCGGTCTTCCTCTTCTCTTATCTAGTACTATGAGTGATGGCGGTGATCTCCCAAAGGTTACCATTGAAACTGGCGAAACGCTGCAGGTTGAGGCTGAAAAAGATGATGAGGAACAGGAACAAGATTCTTTTGAGATAGATGAGATTGAGATCTCTGATAGAGATTCAGAGGATATCGACATTAACCATAGGCGAATAAAGCGGATTTCAAAGCTGGAAACCTTACCAAATGTACTTGTGTGATATTTATCAAACGGGTTTCAGGCAAGGAAATTGTGCCTTAGGAATAATCTCATAAAAGTCATTGAAAATTTGAACCCACTTGCTGACATACTGGTCGATCTAGATTTGTACGACAATCAGATTACAAAGGCTAGTTGTTCATTTGTCGCCATTTTTTCAATCATTCAATTTATCTTTTTGTCTCTGCAACTTTTAATTGCATCATTACAGATTGAAAACCTGGAAGTCTTGCGAGTTATCGAGATATTGGACCTGAGTTATAACCGAATTCGTGTGATAGAAAATTTGGATGCTTTGAAGAATCTTACCAAGCTTTATCTTGTCAATAACAAAATCTCTAGAATCGAGAATTTGTCAGCCCTTTCGAGTTTGACCATGCTTGAGCTTGGTGCCAACAAAATTCGAAAACTGGAGAATCTTGAGAACTTTCCAAATCTCGAAGAGTTATTTGTTGGAAATAACAAAATTACGAAACTCGAGGGACTCGATAATCTACCAAAGCTGAAAATATTGAGTCTACAGGTGAGTACACGTGCCCACACTATCTTGAGCTCACTCCTTTATATATATCTGTCGAACTTTCGCTATCTGGTTAGGTTATGTGCGTGTGTAAAGCCGCCTACGTCCATCAAATCGTCGTGTGTGTGTTGCTCCGCTTATCCTGCAGTGCATAACTAGTCAAGAATAGTCGTCACCACTTCCGCCACCGATTAACCTGAGACTTTTTCTGGTCTAGTGTAACAGAATTACGAAGCTCGAGGGACTGGACAAGTTGTTGAATTTAGAAGAGCTATACTTGAGCTTTAATGGTATTAGCAGAATCGAGGGTTTGGATAGCCTTTCCAATCTCCAGACTCTTGAGTTATCCAGGAACAGAATAAGCAAAATTGAGAACATATCGCACCTAGACAAACTTGAGGAGTTTTGGTTCAACGACAATCTTGTTGCCGAGTGGGATCAGCTTAACATCCTCGTACCAATGAAACAACTGAAGACCCTCTACATGGAACGTAATCCCATCTACTACGCGTCCAACTCGAAACACATGGACACGGCCTATAGGCGAAAAATCCTCCTCTTACTTCCCTGGCTAAGGCAACTCGATGCAACATTGACGGGGGTTGGCCTCAGGCCCTAGTGCTTTTCTGTAATTTGGATCGTCAGAATAGCATTCATAACAACACTGGTTATCTGGCATCGTCTACACTATTATACACTGATTATTTTAGGTGTTCCCGCGTCGTTATCTTTCTGGAATCTATGTTGAGGAAATTAATTTTACATTTATTATCATCTAATGTCACAGTCTTCACCAAAACATCCAGCAAGGTATAAATGGCAAACTCCGTTGTGGTCCCCATCAATGGAGAGATCCGAACAGTCACCTTGCCCACGTCGAATAAAATCCAGTTCCTCGGGAGTCGTTGCAGTATTACAGATGCAAAACAAGGCTCGCTGCTGAGATGGGCCACTCACTTTGCGATTAGGTCTTCGTAGACATCGGTTGGCGGTTATGGTAACTAGTCGATACACAGGAAACGGTTCCGAATTAGCTCCGTGTATGGCCAGCTCCGCTTTTGGCAGTCCCACAGAATCTTCCGAGAGGCAAACCTGGTGAGAAAAAGGAAATTAGAAACATGGTTTGCAAAATAATGGAAATGACATTGGGTAGAAATACGTTCTTATGGAGTGCATATTGAGCTACTTTGATAGTATTGCTAGCTAAGTGTTTCGATTGGTCAGATTCCTTTCAGTGAATTTGGCGCGAATATTGATACAGGCTATCAGAAGCTTGGATTCACCGGTACACGAAATGGGATTCGCGGAGGGTTGTCAAAAGTGCCCATAAGGCCCTGAACAAACAGGGAGCGAATTTCAGGACTGAGGGGGAAAGCCATTGTCTTGGAAACGTTGAAGTATTCAATTTTCGTGAGTTTCGATGGTTGGTAGGTGTTCCATGTATGGAAGCGATTGGCCAGTTCAAGCACCAGCGGTTGTAATGTCTCGGCAGGATCTAAATTTGGAAAATCCATTTCGACGCTTCCAAGAATTGCAAATTAGCATAAATCCTGATGCATTTTGTGGTCCACGTATACTTCTCCAACATCATCATACGACTGTGGTCTTTGAATTTAAAACTTGCATAACCACGAGAAATACAGGTAAAGTGTGACAATATGATCACAATCAGCAAATAAATTTACCGCAGTACTTGAAGAAGGTATTTAGGCTAATGGCACACAAGGTTCTTCGGTGGAAGTCTTTAACGAGTTGAAATAGTGGCTACAATACAAGAGAGCAAATTATGATAGTCAGAATAGCAGACATGGGGCCAAGACGTGCGCGCTTACCTGGTAGTCGAATGTCCGCTTCGCCACTTTGTCACGTAAAGTCTTTAGTTTTTTGCAATACCATGTGATCAGTGCAGATGGTAGGACTAAAAGGAGGCAAAATAAACAAACAAAGCTGAAGTTTTGTGGAACTGCAAATATGTAACTCACGAGTATAATTTAGTAATTTGGAGGGCCTTAATGGAAGGTGAAACGCAAATTCAATACCCTCATAGGTGTGCGCAACCTAAGAGCTAGACTAACTTGACTAAGACAGTACGACAGCTTTTGGGCAGTAGGAGTCATTAATTGCTAAGAGAATGGCTCTCACCGCAAACACAATTTGAAGGAGTGATGGCAAATTGGAAGAAACGTGGTACACTAGACAAATGCTACCGCATTTATGTAAAACTTGTAATAGCAATAAGAATATACCGAAACGATGAAATAAGCTGATGTGGTGAGCGATGACGTAGGGCGCAATCCATCTGGCAATTGAGGAGGGTGAAGCGCTTGCTAACTTCTCCAAAGCGCTACAACACACTGGACAGTCCTGAGTCGTACTTCCTGTAGAGGAGAGGGCAAATGCTGTCGATCTCCCCAATGGATTATCAGGATGTTAATAATGAAAGAAGCCTAGTTTGTTCGTTCGATGCCTCGTACTCACAAACCACAGACCAATTATAACGAGCTAAACACGCTAGTCATCCAGATTATGGTCAAGTAAGCGACAATTGCAGTAAACACGTATGAATGGCGCCGATTACCTGCATGCTGTACAACTTGATCTTCCATAGCGTCAAAAAATTCCTCTTCATTAACTTTCGATGGAGATTGACTTGGGGATGTGGGCTCTGAAGTAGAAATTGAATGAATAAAGCGCGTCTGAAAGGAAGTTACTTCTGTTTCATACCTACTTTTGATGCTGTCCTCTATTAAGATTTGGGGGAAACATTATTGCATATTAAAAGATATTCCATTTTAGAAAACTTAGAAACGATCATAGAGAGCCATAAGAGCATGTTAAGAGTTGAAGGTGCTTGCTGTTTAAAACTCAGAAAAAATGAACAAATTAGGAATGATAATAAAGGAACCAACTTGGGTGCTTCGAGAGGATTAGGAGAGCCTCATCGATCGGTGATAGAGCATTGAAATCTTCCCCAACATTTGGATTGAGAAAGGATTCGGAGACTGGGCTGCAGCGAAGGTGGTTGAGGAAGACACACCAGGAGCCGATGACGACTGTTATAATGTCGGTGGGATAGGTGCGCAGAATCAGCAGGTGGAAGGCAATCAACAAAGTGCGTATGGCCGCACCCACATAACGACACCCCAGCGTACAGATCAGTTGCTAAGGTACGCAGACATTCCACAAAGAAAAATTACTTTCATTGATAAAGAAGCCTCAGGATTGATTGGCAATGATAAACACTTTGCATGGACAGCACCGTCTGATCAAATAATTACAAAAGCACTATAACCTACATTATCCAGTGCCTCCGAAGATGGAAGTTCAGGTGACAAATACGCTGCTGGTACGGCAGACATGGTGACCGATGTATTAAGTACAGATTGCTAAAAGGCGCTTATGGTGAAGACGTTGCTAATTACACTAAACTTAAAAATGGACCAGACTCACCATGAGGTCGGAGCTTAATACCTCCCGAGTAAGATGATCCGCATTACTGGATGAATTTGCTCAAATAAAAAAAAAACTTGAAGATACATTGTAATCCCCATTATCAGAGTAAAATGACAACTGCAAGAATATGTATAACACCTGAATTAAAAGTGTATGTTAAGGCATTTCCAATCACAATATTGGGATGCAAAATCTAACAGACAGATAATGAGGTGAGACGAAGCACCTCTTACCGGTATTGAGGGATTGGGCGATCACATGGTATGCAGAGTCTATTAAGAGGAAAAAATGTGCAGAAATAAATAACTGATGGGGAATGCAAACGAGAGTTACCGGTCTGAGATATGTTGAAAAAAATCTTTTTACACAAATAATACTGCTCAAAAAGAACTTACCGAGCAGGCAGTGCTTTACATCACCCAGTACACAATCTGCAGACCATTCAATCGGAGTAAACTTCACCAGACTACAAAACGAAACGGTTTGTCAATAAACTTAGATTTTGTTGGTATTGTTTCGCAGGATTTAGGCAATAAGACCAAGCTATGATAGAGCAATATCCCAATGACAAATAAGTTGTGAAATAACGGCACTAGAATGCGAAAGCAAACTGCCTCGAGAATACAACTAAGTTTTAAATTTTCAAGAGCAAAACTTGCCGAAACTCAGGATCATCATTAATAGCATGAGAGGGAAGGTTGGGAGAGTCTGCAAGCAAGTTTATTTCTCTGCAATCAAATATAAAAGGAATACTGATTTAAAACGGAGTGTGATGAAAAGAATAGGGTGGCATTGCAAATCGTTTCATCAAAATCACAAGTATATTTTTGCCTTCACTCGAAGAACAGCGCAAAATTAAGACGTTGATTTAATCCCAATTTAACCAATGCAGTGTTAATCAAAGGAAAAGATGATGCAATTCGCACATTCGAATTAGAAAAGAAGCATACACAAGTGCCTCCACAAAACTTACATCTTAAGTGAGACTTCGGATAGCACTTGTTCAGGTGAAAAAACAAACTGGGCCTTGTCATCTGTAAATTAAAACTTAAGTAAAATTGTGTCAATGACCAAGAAGGGCGTATGAGAAGGGTGAAAATATGTAGCCTTTGAACAGAAAAACTGAACGCACGATTTAAGTGATCGTAAAAATATCACAGGAAAAAGCATGTAAATGCAAAAAACGCACCTGCATAGTCATTTGATAGACAGTGAAACTTCAGCTTAACCATGCGAAAATACTGGAGAACAGAAACATTAGGTGTTTCCTCAGAGAATCCCTAAAAAAGAGGTGCAAACGTAAACAACATACTTTAATCACACTGGCAGATAAACCGTGCCTCAGATTCCGTAACGTTAAAAGTTATCACGCAACACTTGAGTGAAAACGGTGAACGCAGAAAACATGCTATAAGGTGAATACGTAGGAAGTTATTGTTTTCAACATGATTAAAAAAGAGTTTGTCGAATTATTTTAACCAAAAAATCTGCTGGCGCTAATTTCCAAAAGAAAGCTACCAAGAGCATAATCCCACTACGTACAAAAGCCCGATCTGAACGATCGCATCCACAGACTTTTTGGTAATACTCAGTGTTGAAAACTACCAAATCAACACCCCAATCGACTACCGATGAGCAATGATCAATTATCACGAGAATTGCCCCATGAATAATCACAATTTGACAAAGTAATACACATCGTATCACTATTCAGGCAAGGTGCATCTAGCAGAAGTAAAATAATAAAAAGGAGAATAAATGCAATGCTACAGTCCTGAAACAGTGATATAAAACAGAAATTTGTTCGATATAAAATGCAAAAAGTTAGGAGAGGTAAAGCAGAAGTCTTTCCAAGGGAAAATAAGGAGCACCAATGGCACGATAAAGATGGGAAAAGTGTTAGACGCACCACCTTCTCACGAAAGATGTCCCGGAGCTTGGCAAGATGAGCCTCCGAATGCGGCAGTGAAGCGTGAGCAATGGCATATTCTATTTTTTTTAGCCCCGAATCAGGCACAACTATCTCGGAAGGAGAGAGGTCGGTAACAGGACCACCACGAGACAAACGCAACCCGTAGTACAGCTTATCATTTCCATACGACACAAGCATTGGCAATTCCCTAGTAACAAAATGGGAATAAAATTCTACGTAGCAGTGCCTCAAGTAAGTGTAGTCTACCTGCATGGTTAGTAAAGAACTTTAGGAGGAAAGAATATACAATATTACCAGAGCAAGCTAGCAAGGTGCTAGACGAGCCGGCCACGGTTCAAAAAAGTTATGAACAATAGATTTGAAGGATATCTACAGGATTATAGTAATGAATACAAGAAATTCATTGGCATTGAACGCATCGGAAAAAAAACAGTGAAACGCTTGCAGCAATTCTTAAGTGAGTTTGCCTACCATTGCCAGAAGGATGAACAAAATGCGAAATTCCATGATAAATTTCATTCCCATGTGGCACTTACGTGGACTGAACAGCTATGAAATCCCTATCACAGCTGAAACCATAGATGACGAAAACATCATCATCCTTGGGAAGTCTATATGTCGTCAGCAAAAAATCGGACTTGAGGGTGTCAATAGGTAAAGGCCTGTGACTATAACGAT